ATGACGCGGTACGAATTCTCGTGGTGATTTACACCCATTTATAAAAAGCAGGGCAAAAACACTGGGTTACATACATATTTTCTGTGTTGTCTATTTTTCTTTGCTTTTTTGTTTTATTTTCTCTCTTTTCATGCACGCGTTCCTGTCTTTCTGTCTCTCTCTCTCTCTCTCTCTCTCTCTCTCCCTCAGGTATTGTCCCCTCGTTCTTTCTTAGCCCCTGTCCATCTCCCTGTCCATTTTATATGATTTTTCTTCTCAAATGTTTTTCAATAAAGTTTATTATATCAAATATCAAGTGGAGCATTAAGGCAATTGGTCTACTTAAACAGGAAAAAAAAAATGCTGGTTAAAGTAAAAAATTTTAAGCTCTATCATTTGCTTTTCAACATTCAAAATAACTCAGGATTTTTAGACATTTAAAATAAAGCTGGATATCATCAGCAAATAGGTGAAAGGAAACATCACTAAACTGTTGGATGATATTTCCCAAAGGGGTCAAAAACAACAAAAATAAAACAGGGCCAAAAACTGAACCTTGAGGTACTCCTCACAACAAATATGCAAACTCAGAGCTTATTTGGTTTGCAGCAACACTACAGCTAGACCCGGACAAATATGAGGAGAATCACTGTAGAACTGACCCCAACAGTCCTACTTGATCCCTCAGTCTTCTCAGCAGAACCTGATAATAAACAGTGTTGATCATCAGTCACATCTATCTGCCTGTCTGTCTGTCACAGGCAGAAGATGGTTGTCAACAAACCAACCATATGTTATGATCTAGTTTCTTAAAGCCAAATTTATATATCCATAAATATAAATGTGACTAGAAATTAGCTATTTCAACTTTGCAATCGAATGCCTTTATGACAATAGAGATACATATACTTCTCAAATAATGGCATTTGGGATAATTGATAAAAGCAATTTATCTAATAATTATAGTCAGTTGTACAAAAAAGCTAAACACAATCATGGCCAGAAAAAACAAACAACCAGGTCACTCATTATGTATTTGTTTTTAATTATGTTAGTTTCAAATTATAAACCTTACATCTGATTGTTCTGTTTTTGGAATTAATTCCCTCATACAATATTTTTTATAAGTCACTTATACATATATAGTCTAAATCAAAGTCAAAAGTCCTAATGTAAGAATTATTAACAATAAGAAACATTTCAGCAGAACAAAATCCTCCACACCAACATCTTTTTAATTATAATATAAATCCAAGTTTGATGCTCTAAACACCATAGGGGTACGGAGGAGGGTTTGGATTATTATACTGAGCTCCATAACCACTAGGAGGAGGAGCAGGGTTTGGATTAGCATATTGTAGACCTGGGGTTTGATTAACCACCATGACTGGATTAGCTTGAACATTGATCACCGGTGCTGGTGGAGGCTGTGTGATGACGACAGTAGTTTTATCTCTTGCCTTTAATTCACGATGCATCTGACACCATGAGCACCATAAGCAAAAAGCAGAGACCACCATGTCGTTGCAGATGGAACCCTAAAAACAACCACATTAAAACAGTTTGTTACTTTTTAGTTGAACACGAATTAAGGTTTAGGTGAATGTCGAATGTGCCATACCTTTATTCCATATCTGTTCCGAATGGAAGCCCTCAGAGTCAATGATGCTGGAGGAATAAAAATGGGGACCCCACAGGCTGTGAATGCAGCAGGACTCATTATGTCACATAAGGGAAGGCAGTAGCACTCTTGAAATGTTCCTGAAACAGTGCAGGCAAGGCAAGGGCAACACCAGAAGCCATAGCAGCCTGAGGAAGACATCAGAATGCAGATTCAAATTGATAAAGTAGGGATTTTAAACAATTTCTTTTTGATTTTAGTAATAATAAAAAGAAAAATGTTAAGCTCTTACAAGTATTGGCATCTGCAAAGCAGTCACAAAGATGCGTTGTCCAAGCTCCTTCTGGCATTATACTTTAGATCTTAAAATTCCGGCACAAACTGAACCCTCTGTGGTCAAGAAAAATAAAAACAACTTCAAATGTCTCGGCACAATATGTGAAGTTAAACAGTTGATTTCTATATATCTTGACACAAGGAATATAGTATTTGTGGCCCAAGTGTATGATTCATCTTTACAGAGTGGTTCTTAATGGTTTGAATACAGCCTGACTTCAGCCCATTTAAATTCTTTAAAAAGATTTCCTTTACAGTCTTCTCAAGACTGTGGTTATTCCCATTGCTGATGGTCCTTTTCTCGCCTTTCTAGTGTGGTCGGAAAATTTGATTTCTCCTGTCTCATATTCCGTAAAAATAAAAATAAATATCCACTGGACTTGGTTTCCAAGTGGATATTTTTTGAATTTTTACGGAATGACTATGACCTGGATGACTGAAAATCTTCATCAGCATCCTGTCTCATACATTTAGTTATGCTATTTATCCAGTTATTCAATTTTTTTACTCAGTTTGTTTCACCTGCAAGGCTGAGAAAATATCTGAGTGAGGGGTGGTTTTAGACAAAACATACTTATTCCCATGACAAGCCAAGTTGTTTCTCAGGGTTTGTTAAAGTGTGTGTAATTTGTTTTGACTCTGACACAACCTTTACATCTTTTGTCATCAACATAAGTAAGGGAGGCAAACTCCGTCTAGTCAGAACAGGGCTGAATACAGAGCAGCAAGGGCTGTATGAGGAACTGTTCTCTCTTTGCAAAGATATGTGTTGGAATAACTATGTATAAGATACTTAATGTTTGTTCTTATGATGTATAATGTGTGACATACAGTATTACTGTTCCAGAGAGGTGTTGCACAAGCAGTATAGGTAAACTATCAGGAAGTATTGCTCAAGCTTAACGAAACCAGGAGGTTCTCGGACCTTTTAACCGCAAGACATTTAAATCCAAATTGACCTGTTCACTAAGGCTGCAAATTGAATTGTATTTCTTGTTTCCTATTCCTTTAGCTCAACCTTAGTTTGTGTAACTAGGGACCCCCCCCCCCCCGACTTTAATAAATAGCGAGACGGTTGGAGATTTGTAAACTCTGCAGTCTCTTCCTACTCTCCTCAAGAGTAAAACTAAATTAATTGTCTCTGTGCCTTCTTTCTTTCCCTGTATGTATGTGTGATGTTTTAGGTGCTTAGACGTGACAATATGAAAATAAAATGCAGAGTGGGTGAAATCCATCGATCTCCATTTTGACTAGTGTGAATAGTTGAATACTTTCTTCCCACTAAACCAGGAATGTGTTGCAACAAGCACTATTTGAACAACCAGATTATTTAGAAATGATCTTTTGGGGCTTACCTTGCTTGTGGTGTGTTTCAGCTAATTAACTAACTCAATTAGCTGGTTAAGATGACAGACCATTAATTCTGACATAATTTTCTCAGATAATGAGCTTTGAATTGTATTGTGTTTAGGAAGTCTTAATTAGTAACATGAGTTAATAAACTATTTGACAATATTCTATCTCTGAGATCTGCCTGTATATGGATTTTCATGTGCAAAAAGGTAATCTAAACCATCAACTGTTCTGTGTCACTGTTTTGAATCTAACGCTTGGGGAAACTGTAAATGCACCACCATGAACAATCTGAAAATTGTAAACAACAATAGAGATACTGTATATATAAGACTTTACGCTTTACGCGTTACTTAGACTTAGAGACTGAGACTTTATTATTGTTTTGTATACAAAATGAATTTTTGTTGATTACAGCTTACAACAGTTGTAATGATATTGCAATTGAAGCAGATAAACATTGCCAATATATAGTGCAGCAGTGATCAGAATGTAAAACAACGTAGGAGAACAAATAAACCAGTTTAAATAATGTTGCAAAGGGCATTAATATGAAAACATTCAGTCTTGTGCAAAAATAAATATGGTGCAAAATGCAGTACAAACATTGACTTGTGTCCTATGTAAAAGGATTATAGAAGTTCAGCAATGTTGGTAGTGCAAATAATGTTATGCATTACTAAGAGGGCGAGCCCTGCAGCGAGCTCAAGCTAGATTTGAGGGTAAATTTCAATTCCAAATTTCCTTTAACTAGTTTATCTTTTGTTCAAACAGACATTTGGATATACTGAATCAGTTTCTGACTTTTTCCGTAAGATGTGGAATCTAAAACAGGATAACCAGCCAGTATCACATTTTGCCATTGAGGTTCGAACTCTAGCAGCCTCTACAGCCTGAAACTTAGAAGCATTAAAGGGAGCTTTTTTTCAGGCCTTGGATGAAAGAATTAAGGATGAACTAGCATGCAGAGAGGAGTCTGAAACTCTAAGGGAACTAATCTCCCTCGCTATTCACATTTGCAATAGAATTCAAGAGAAAAATAGAGGACCAAGCAAAACAGTGGAATAATTTACCTCTACCCCAATCTCATCTTCCAGATCGTTCATGAACTTATGGCCTTTCAAGGCCACATCTAGAAGAACTGATGGTTGATTGGTTACACTTGGTTTTAAACTGTGGAAGAACAAGGTATGATGGAAACTGGACTCTCCCTGTATTGCGGTGAGAATAGTGAGTGGTCACTTCATTTATTTCTGCCCAAAGCATCTAAAAGAAAGTGCCCACTGGTAAGGAAGGGGCCAGTGTTCAGTTTTAAGAACAAATCTTTCCACTTGACATTACCCTGCTCTCTCCTACTGTATCAACCATTTCCCTCTTTTGCTTTAAACGATACTGGTTGTGACCAAGACCTTATGGATAACAATTTAGCTGAATAATTACTTCTTCCTGTTGTACGCCTACCTGAACCACTTCATGTCTTGGTTCTAGATAGAAGTCCTCTGCATGTAATCAATAACCGGATGGAACCACCAAAACTCCTGGTGTCAGTCAATCATATCGAAGAAAATATTATTTCCTGTTGTCTTCACCCCAATCTCCCATTATTTTACGATACTATTGTCTCACCCATCATAATCCTCACCTGAACTGGAAAGACAATAGGGCTGAGTCACTGAGTAACCGCTGTCTGTCAAACTGTCTGCAGTCGGCCATGTCTCCAGTCTCAAATTCTGAAGAACAGGAAACTGCAGTAGACTTCTTCCTGGTTCCACCTGAGTATCATGACCTTGATCTGATTTTCAGTGAGTCTAAGGCTCTCTTTCTCCAGCCTCACCACCCATATAACTGTGCTAATGAGCCACTCCCTGGAGCTTCTCTCCCCTCCACTAGGTTTTTTAACATGTCCAAGCCTGAGAAAAAGAGTATGGAGAAGTACTTAAATAAGATGCTAGATGCTGGAGTTATCTTCATCTCTACTTCACCTCTTGGAGCAGATACTTTCTATGTAATGAAAATGTATGAATCACTAAGACCTTGCATTGATTATAGGGGCCTTAACCAGATTACTGTGAAAAATAAATATACACTTCCTCTTCTCTCAGCAGAATATAGATCATGGCTCACATTTCTTCACTAAGTCAGATCTCCGAAACCCCTACCCTCTATTCAGAGACGAATGGAAGTTTGCACTCAAGACCCCCCTAGGTCATTTTGAATATCTAGCAATGCCTTCTAGTCCCTTGTGAATTACGTCCTTAGAGATTTTTCAAATCAGCTTTTATTCGTACACCTTAAAGACCTTCTGATTTCTGCAGGACCTTATCTGAATATAGGATCAACGTGGCTCAATTTTTCCCAGAGAACAGAGAACAGAGAACTCTTTGTCAAATCCAAGTAGTGTGAGTTTCATGCCACATTAGTCGCTTTTTTTAGAACACATTCTCAAGACTATGCAGGTGAAGATAGATGCAAAAAAGATTCCAGGCATTCTCAGTTGGCCTTCTCCCTCATCTCACTACAACATTTCTTAGAATTTGCCAACTTCTACCTCATTCAAACTGCTTAACCTCTTATTATCCTTACCTCCTCTAAAATACTTTGGTTTATAGATTAATTATAGATCCTTTGGTAACCTGAAGCCAAAAGAGCTTTTTTTGAGCTCAAGAAAAGGTTAGCCATTGCTCTGATTCTGATTCAGCTAAAAAATTTTCTTGAAATTGATGCCTCTGATTTAGTGGTGGCTGCAATCCTTTCTCAGATTTCCTCTGATGGCAACAAGCTCTGTCCATGTGCCTTCTTCACCTGCTGTTTGCATTGATGCAATGATATGTTGCAATTTTGGCCTCATCACCCTGCTCTTACTTACAGAAGTTTCACTTTGCATTTTTTGTCGGCCAGCTACAAGCTTTAACACATTGCTACCTAAATAAGGATTGTTAATACTAGCCGAAATGAGATTCTGCAAACGCATGTATCCTGACCTTAAAAAACATGGTAGTTAAAAGAAATTAAAACAACTGATAATTTGGAGTGGAGGGAGTGAAGGTTATTATCAATATCTTACCTATTAACATGGGCTTTTCGATTTATTTTTCAGACTAGATGATTTGGTGGTGTTTTTCTGTTTAAAGTAATTAAAAACTGTTTGCTTAAATCAAATTTTACATTATTTAATTGTTTTAAAATAAGCCAGTATTCTTTCCAAGACATACTTAGAAATTGACATACTTGGAAACTGAAATTATCTCATTTAAAATCTTAAAAAAATAAAATTTGTTCATAATGCAAGATAATTAAAAGTGTTCAAGGACGTTAAGCATGGCTGTATGAATGTAACTCTAAAGACACCAGACAAACTGAAAAAATCATAAACGTGTTAAGTTACTTTTAAACCTTGATTGCTTAGAGGTGCCCTGCTGCAGGGAATTTTGTTCATTGTTGTGGTTCTTTTTTGTTAAAAAAGTTAATATTGCTCTGTCCTTTGCCACACCTCAAACTGATGCTACAGATTCAAAGCAGTGCTTGTAAGAGAACAATTTTAATCAGGCTAAACAAAGTTACAATTTAACATATAAAGAGTTAAAAGTCACCAAGACTTGTAATTAAATTTGGAACTTAAAGTTACACCTTGAGATTTAAATACATTTTAACATAGAGTAACCGAAAGATTAAATCATTTTACCTTAATTTATCCTATTCCTATTGAAAGATATTTCCCGAATATTTATTTACCTTATAACTTCAGACAGAGAAACATATCTGAAATATCAAGTTACTGTACAATATATGTATAAAACTTAAAAAATGGAAAAACTACCAAGAAAGAATTTAATTTTCACTGTCTGGTAACACAGTTAAGTAACAATATTTTTCCTGTATACAATTTGAAGTATACATTTTGCTAACTATCCCGTTAAACTATTATTAATTTATTCACCTGCTCTTGTGGAGACCTTCCTTGCAGCTTAGTAGATGCCAGCAAATGCCAGCTTACAGTTCAGTTTGCTTTCTTGACTTAAACAAAAAAACTTGAATAACCTGTGACCCATCATGCACGCCATGCAGATTTAGTTACAAGATACTGCAGGTATGTTCTATTTTCCTGCTTATCTGCATTTGACCAAACAACATAATGTTGATGTTTTTATTTTCACTTTCTTTGGTCTATCTCTTAAACAAACCAAAGTCTTGCAGTTGTTAGACGGATTGAAAATTAGAAAATAGAAATTGGGAAATAAATAAAGTCATTAAACAGTCATCCTCCATTTTCACTGATATCTGAGATCCTGGACATGCTCTAAATGAGCCCTGCCTTTTTGTTTGCTCAAGGAAGTGACAAACAGGAGAAGAGTCATAACTATAAAAATGGGAATAAAAACACAATAAAAGATAGACTTTTTAGTCATAAAAAAAACATCACTATGGAACATTTATTTGAGATACCATAGCATAACATTTTACTTGTGATTTCACTTAGATTACTTAGGTTTTGACACAATTCTGACTAAAAGAAGTAAAACTGAGTCAAAACCTTAAAGTCTTTATGTTTTCAGGTTTTAGGCTTGATCACCTCAGAAACCAGGAGAAAGTGATTTTGTTCCTTGTTGTATCAGTGTATTTTAATCCCCTACATGGTGTAGGAGTTAGCCTTAATGCATCAGCTATGTTTTTTTCAATCAAGAAATTATTTTTGAAACTCTTTTTTCTAGCTGAAGTTTCTCTAATTCTGTCTCCTTGCACAACCCTCCCACTGTCCTCATCCCATCCTACTAGAGTCTCTGCTAATCTCCCTGTAGAGTCTCTCAGCTTTCCTACTATCCACTCTTAGATCCAGAGCAGGACACAGCCGGCTAACTGGGATAAACGTTTTGGATGCCGACCTTACCAAAGTACCATCTTTAATTATTTTTAATATAATCAATGGCTTAACCTTAAATCCCGTTTCTATAATTTTATTTCAATGTCTGATTCTATTCTGTTCTTTCAATTATTTCTAGAAACAAACAAGGAGTTAAGAAAAGAAATGTTTTTATTACCTGCTTGGAGGAAGCTTAGAGCACACTAGGAGCAATTTCAAGCAGCATAGCGACAGTGCTGCTGTATTGAGACTGACCAGTTTATCAACACCAGTTAAGATGGACTACTTCATTCATGTGAATCCTATATTTACTTACAGGGCAGAGTTTGAACAAAAACAACTAAAGGCAATAACTACAGCCTTCTATCACATTGTTATATATGCATTTGCTTTGTTTTTGGTTTTCCTTTTCTCTTTTTTTATTTCGAACTTTCTGCAGGTGGATAAGAAATATCTAATGTTTTATGATTCATTTTCAATAATGTTAATCTTTAGTAACAGATCCTTTCCCACAGCAGCTGTAAGACATTATAACCATCACTGATCCCAACAACCTCAGTAAGTTGTTACATTCATGCTGATTTTGCACATCTCTACCTGAAGGCCCATTCATACCTCACGTAAAAGACGGATACGGATACGTGTGGAGTGTTTCATACGTTCTAACCGTCGATTTCGTCCGTACTTTGACACGAAAATTGGGAGCTTACGCTTACGGACGAAACGGATCAATACGGAGCAATACTACCGGAAACGGTGGGGGCGCTATTGAGTTTTTAGTACAAAATGTCAACAGAATCAGGTCTTGGACCATCGCCATGTTTTGATCAATGACGAATCATTGGCGCCCAGCACTGCCACCTAGAGGAAATACGGGTTATTGCGCAACGGATAGAACGTACGGACAGAAATACGGACGTGCAGGCCAAACGTGAGGTATGAATGGGCCTTTAGTCAGTTAAATAACATGCTGCTGTCATTTTGCACATCTCTGATGTTGCTGCTATTTTCAAATCTTCATTACTGTAAAAAAATTCATAGCTGTATATTGGCTATTTATTCTGCAAGTGCACAGTTTTATATTGTTAAAACACTTTACAGTACAGTATTTGTTGTTTTTATTTTATTCTTGACTATTATGTTATTCTTATACACTTTCCTATGGTGCACATTTGTGTGACCATTTTTTATAATCTTTTTGATGCTGTAAACACCAGAATTTTATTTTATTGGGATTTTCTATTCTATTCTATTCTATTCTATTGTAGGTCAAATGTGGGAAATGAGTTTAATTCGTGCAGCCTGTAGCACAGAGACAGAAGGGGAAAAATCTGTGCAGATCTGCCCACCCTGCCTAGTCAGAGCCTCGCTATATGCAGTTAGAGTGACATGGAGAAAAAATGGATCTGAGATTAAAAAGTGGTACTCAACCGGTGTGTTCTGGCCTTAAACCTCTACACACAAATGCATGCGCTCCTGCAGGGCGGACAAACAGAAACCGTGGAACTGTTTATAATAAATTCAATTCAGTTTATTTATATAGTGCCAATTCACAACACGTCATCTCAAGGCACTTCAGAGACAATTCAACCAGGCCATACAGTCAAATTTATTCTAAGTTTTCTATTTAAGGAAAACCAGTTGATTGCATCGACTCACTTGAAGGCGATCCCTCACACCAAGCATGCTTGTAGCGACAGTGAAGAGGAAAAACTCCCTTTTAACAGGAAGAAACCTCCAGCAGAACCAGGCTCAGTGTGAGCGGCCATCTGCTGAGGCCGACTGGGGTTCAAGGAGACAGAAGCAGAGATACAGAAATAAGCAGAGATACAAAAGGAGTCAACCATCTCCACAGATGGCCCCGTCCAGGAAACACGCAGCCAGTCAGACAAGCTCAGACAGTCACAGTCAAACAAATGGGACTACACTGAAAAATAGACCATGCTCATCTATGAATAATCTATAAACAAAGGTGTTTGTGGCAGCAGCACGGCTGAGATTTCCCTCCAGGATGGTGTCACAGCCAAACAGGAGCCATATGAAGCTACTATGAGAAAAAGCAGAGAGAGCATAATGTTAGAGATTGAACTAACAGATTTTGCAGAGTGGGAGAATAGAGATAGAATGAAGCAGATTGAGGAAAAAGGGGTCCCTATGT